GATGTGCTTATACAGGGTAAATTTTAAAAATTAATATTTTATAAGTAATTTTTTCTTGGTTAACGTTAAGTTTTGTTATAAAATAATACAACGTTAACCAGGAACAAATTTTGTTTATTATAAAATGCGAATAATGTTCTCATTGGTCATAAATATCGTCATTTATGTGCAAAATTATAATTTTTATGTAAAAAAAAAATGTTTTTTATAATCGAGAGAACGAGAGAGATCGAGAGAAACGAGACATTCTCGAGCGAGAGAGGGCATTCTCTCGTCTCGTCTCGAGCCTTTTTTCGAGAGAAAATCGCCCTCTCGTCTCGTCGAGACGAGACAAGACGAGACGAGAGGCGAGAATCTCTCGTATCGGCGGCATCACTATATGTGTCAATGGTATCAAGAAAGGATTGCACAGAATCATCGATTCTTAAAACAAGTTTTATTTACAGACGAAGCAAACTTTTCCCGCGATGCAATTATGAACTTCCATAATAATCATGTATGGGCCGACGAAAATCCTCATGCCTTAATGGAAGGCCATCATCAGCAACAATTTTCTCTTAATGTTTGGGCAGGCGTTGTAGGAGATCATTTAACACTTTTTGCCGCTAAGGCTAACTGGTCAATTATATCGAAGTTTTCTTGAAGAGGAACTGCCAGGACGTTCCGTATAAATTAAGAAACGATATGTGGTTTATGCACAATGGCGCTCCTGGCAGGAGCCTCCTGCACATTTCAGTTTAGTTGCGCGTCAGTTCTTAAATGAACGGTATAGGAACCGCTGGATAGGCAGAAGAGGCCCAAAACTTTTGTGATAATGTTGCTACGTTTTTTTCATCATAAAATGCCGTTTTTCTCTAAAATGGTTCAGGCTAGAGCTTTTGACCAAGAGTACCTTTTTTGTGTAAAAAATACTTGCAATTTAAAAAGTGCTTTCAAAATGCCAATATCACCAGTTTTAAAGAAATTAGGGTCAAAAAAATCTCACACAACCGTTAAATATCCGCAACTGACATATAACAAAAAATTGAATTGGGACTAAAAAAGTAGCTAATATTATTGATAAGATGTGTTCAAAAGCTTAGTTTTAAATCTCAAACGTTTTCTGAGATATTGTTAAAAAACAAAAAAAAACAATAATTTTTCGACACCCTGTATCTCGAAAACGGTGCGTTTGCTGACACATGTTAATAGAACATTTTTTTCCTGGAATTAGTCAAGAAATCACATCCTTCATTTTCCGACACATGTTTCGAAACACCCTGTATATACAAGGTGTCCCTAAACTTAGTGGCATAAATTTAGGAGCAGAATAAGCAAGTCAAAATAAGACGAAAATCTAAATAAATATTTTTCCTAATTACGTATGTTTAAAAGATACAGGGTGATAAAGTGTTACTTATCATATCAGTTTTTTTAATATAACTTCTACTATGGTAGACTTGGAAATATGATATTTTGCGAACACTCACTTACTACCAAAACACATATTCACACATAATTACAATTGTTCGAGTGAACACAGTGTCGTAGAAACAGGGGTTGCTTAAGCTTATTGTCCCATAAAAACTTTGATGCAATTTTTCGATTACTCAGTTCGGCTACAATTAAAAAGGTGTACCTCTCAAACTTCGATAAAATAAACCGTTTCCGAGATATTCGAGATTACAATAATTGAAAAAACTACAATTTTTTTAATGTGACGGTCAGGGCAAAAAGTCCCGAGGCTCATGGAATGCCGTTTCCAATTTTTTCAACTAGAATATAAAATTTGTTATCATATACCTTTTATCCTTTTAAATAATGCGATATAACAAGCTTTCCAAATGTTGTATCTGCGTTTTCGGGGACAGGGCAGGAAGGATGTTTTTGCTCCTCAAGGTAAGAATTAAATCCACTTAAGGACAGACCCCAACTCGCTCTCTTCTGTCTTCCTTCTCTTACAGGCCCGGGTGTCAGCGCGCAATTCTGACATCAGGGTTGGAATGGCACCTTGACTGCTAGTTGAGGGCCTCGAGGAAGTGGACAGCGTCATCGAAATGGAGGGAGTCACTGAGGGCAAGGACATTGAAGCATCATCAATAATAGTTTCTGATATGTACCTTATGGACAATGGATATGGACATATATTCCCTTTTATGACTTTTTGGAAATTTTAGAGAAGATATAAAAAACGAAATCGACAAAAGCTTATTTTGCCATAGCGTCGCTATAAAAATTTTAATATGCTCACAATTTTCGGTTAATAATTTGTAGGACGAGAGTTAAAATGAATGATTTTTGGAATATTATTCCAGTTTTGTGTTTTTTGAAAGAAATATCAGATACGTCGTTTTGTCATCTATTTTCACAAACAATTATAATTATAAGACACGTACTGACTAAGAAGATGATTTTTGAAATAAAATGCGGTTGGATATAGAAAAATCATGGGCGTAGATAAAGGGTAAAATTTCAGGTTCGCAATTTACATAAGAATATATGTACATTGCTAGCAGAGCTGTGGTACTCAGTAGAAAAAAATACTGCAAGTATGGTACTGAGTACTTTCAGTACTTAAAGTACTCTACTGCCAGTACTTATAAAATCATGTTACTGGTACTGGGATATCAAGTACAATTGGAAAATACTGGTACTGGGTACTGGTTTTTCAGATTTTCATTAAAAAGTAATACTGTTTACTTGGAAAAGTACTGGTAATGCGGAAACACTTAGAACGATACTGCCAGTATTTTAATTACTGGAAGGGATGAAAAGGACTTGCAGTACTTTTAGAACATTTCCAGTATTCCAAGAAAATACCAGTTTAAACTAGTTTATTTTATATAACTTATATATACTATAGTGTAATTAGTATACACGTTTATTTTTTCTTAAAGTTTATTTTGATTTTTAAACAATTGTTTATTTTTGTGAGTGATAATTTTGCAAATAAATTTATTTGAATAAATATTTCTTTCTTACTTAAGTATACGTAAATAATAATACTAAATAGGTATGACTATTATGTATGTTTTATTATTTTTTGCCACCTGCCACCTGCCTTCCTCATCAAATTTGAAATAATTCTTAAGGAAATGCAATTATAATACTTGCAGATAAATTAAGATTATGATTATTTTGCAAAAAATTATAAATATCTAACTTTCAAAAATTACATTTAAAACTCTTAAATATAGTAAAATTATATTCAAAAATTTATTATAATATTCATTGAATATGATACTGATATCACCAGTACTGAAAATTCTGTAAGTAATAAAAATTACTTGCAGTAATAAAAATTACTTGCAGTAATCAAAATTACTGGCAGTAATCAAAATTACTTATAAGTATTTAAAACCATAACTTTATAAGTACTTGGTACTGGTACTGGTTTTTTTACAATTTCCAGTACTTACTTGATACTGTAAGTACATTTATTAAATACTGGATACTGGTACTGGAAGTAAAATGAAATATTATGATACTGGTTACTTGATACTGACAGTACTATCGTAGGGTACTTGCAACAGCTCTGATTGCTAGCAAAATATTTCATTTTTTTAGTACAAGAAACTACAACATACAAGCAAAAACAAAAAAACTAAACTCTTTGAACGGTATATAATGATTTATTTTGCGCTATTACCTACGAAATATGCTTAAATATAATTATTGAAAGTAAAAAGAGTCCAAGTATTTTATTTATCAGAAGTTTAATGAGGTAGGTTCCTATAGTTTGTTTTGAATTCTGGTTTGTTTAACTACAGGGGTAGTTCCACTGCACAACGACACGAGATAATTGTATTTTTGAAGACTAATTTTATTAGGCCCTTTGTTTAAATTGTGAAGCTCGAAACTATTTATAGTTTTATTGGCTTTGAGACGCTTGAGGCAAATTTAATCAAACTCTAACTGGAAATGACTATTTAAAAAAAAATTCATTGGAGACGATTTTTTAACCATGATTTCCATCAAATTAGTCCAATTTATCTTGGTCTCTTTCACATTTAGCACGCGCAGATCAGTAGATAAGGTCTTGAAGTCTCTGAAATCGTCATATTTCATACTAATTACCTTATAGGGTTGTTTTCTGCTTGCTAAGTTTATAACCGGCTGAAATTGTGATGGTACAGAAATATCCCCAGTAGTGGACAAAGTTGATGAAATGGCGCTATGCGCCGAATCACCCCGGCTTTGACCATGGTTGGTTTCAAAATATTTCAGGCCAATCTTTTCTCTAGAAGAAAGTTTATGAAGTGAATATAATAACAAAGTAGCTATGATTGAATTTTTATTTTGTGCATAACACCCATCAGCAAATAAATCAATGGCAGTTACATTCTGTTTTTGGCTGTACTCTTCTAGGACTCTGAAAAAACAAGTCGCAATTTCTGAAGAACCGCGCTTACTGACTGATTCATTCCAGACGAAACAGTAACACTCCTTGCTGGCCAAGTTGTAGAAGGCCAAATTAAAATTGGAAAGACGACTCTTGTAAAAAATTGAGCTCTCCTTTGATATAGGAACGTAAATTACCTGTTGCATGTTAAAAACACCACAAATATTAATATTTTGTTTAGCTTCCTCTTTACAAATTCTTTTTTTCTCTTGCACAGTTATCTTTTCTAAGATATGAGTATTATATCTTTGTTTTAATTCGGTTTTGGTATTTTCATCGCCTCCCAGATATGTGACACATAGGGAGGACTGGAGCAAAAAGATAACTTATGCCTCTTGAAAATCTTCCTATACAAAGAAAAGCTTGGAATCCTTTGAGTTTAAGTTCATGGAGGAACATCTCAAACATTTTTCTCAAGGATACTTTCTTGTGGTTTTAGCACGACAATAGTGCGATTGGACACGTGGAAACCTATTAATGTGACTTTCTAAATCTGAGTTCATCTTTTGTTCTTTTTTTCAATGGTTTCACTTCTGTGTCTTCCTCCTCTCCGTTCTTTCTCTAAAACGCCTACCTCGTTTTTTTTTTGATAAAGCGGCAGATCCTTTCCGAAACAGTATTAAAAAAAATTACACACTCTACAAGACTTATTTCCTACTGTAAAAGAATAACCAGGATGTTCTTTATCAGTCGTTTTTCTCCGTGTTTCATCAACTTTTATGTGCCTTGCCAAAAACTTTCGCTGAAGATGTAAACCGCCGACGCCATTAAATTTTTCAAAGATTTCTCTTCTTTCTTCATCTGTTATTTGGAAGTACACAAGATTTTTCTGACAACGTGCTTTTATGCATCTATTAGAAACAAACTTTTTGGAATATGCTCTTACATACTCCTGTCCCATATTCCGTTGAAGTTTTAAAATTTTCTTTTTCTGGGTTTTACTTCTTTTCAGTGCATTTTCCTCCCTATCTGCTCCATCTAACTCAAAGGATTCTGGTAGTATTGTTGAAGTGCTTACATGATCCTGTCCTAAATTTTTCTGCAGTTCTAAAATGTCCTTTTTGTTGCTCTGGTACGATTCTGGTAGCAGCGGTGGTGTTTTATGTATTTTATGTTCATTAGTAGCTGCCCAAGTAGCACAAACGGTTAAATAACTGGTATTATAAGTAAATTAACCGAAATCTAGTAGTAGTACGGTTGGGTAGGCTCGAAGCCTGACAATTAGACTCTATGGTCCTTTTTATCTGCCCCTCCTAAACCAACCAAACTACTCCTCATCCTCCTCTTCGCCCATACCAGCCCTTTCGAATCTTCCGGTCCTTCTTATAAAGGTCAGGATATCCTGCCAGGCAAGAGAGGCCAACTCTTCCCTTTGGAGTGTCATCACTCCAAAGATTTTATACCTTAGTCTGCCGAGGGCCTCACATTGTCCCAGGAAGTGAAAGGAGGTTTCATCCTCCCTTCCGCATTGGGTACAGGAGGGGCTGGTTTCAGCCCCTATTCTCGTGAGGTGTTTCCTTAGGCCATGACCCGTGAGTATGTTCACAAGTGGGCCTAAGGAGGTTCGGCTCCTACCTAGAAGCCAGATGGATTTGGGTTTGCTTAGGGTGACCAGGAAATCCCTGGTCTGCCTACAGCCACCGCTTCTTCTCCAGCTTTCGTTCGCCCTTTTATCAGCCCAATTATTTAGGGCTGATTTGACCTGCTTTCTCGTAATACCAAAAATTGGTTCGGGTCCTACACAGGGGGTTTCAGATCCCAATCTGGCCAACTCATCAGCCCGTTCGTTACCTTTCACCCCACTAAGACCTGGTACCCATTCGAGATGCACTCTTTTTGTACTTGATAGCTTTTCCAGCGCTTCCTCACACTCTTGAACCAACTTCGATGTGGTTCTCGCTGCCCAAAGCGCTTTCAGAGCTGCTTGGCTATCTGAGCAGATGTATATATCTGTCTCACTCCCTGTTCTTATATCCTCACAGTTTGCAACCTCAAGTATGGCAAACACTTCCGCTTGAAAGACAGTGGTATATCCTCCGAGCGGGTAGCTCCTTTGGATATCCCTGTCTTCCACGTAGAAACCTGCCCCTGAAGACAGTGTACTCGCCATACGAGAGCCATCAGTGTAGCACACTAGTGCATTTTGTGCAAAGTGTACATCCTTTTTCTCCCACTGCTCTCTTGTTGGTATCGTGAGGGAAAACTTCTTTTTTAAACTTAAGCGGTCTTTTGCTGGCATCGTTCTAATACTGCTAATTGGGACCTCCCTCTCAGCCATATCCGCCATGCCCTCATGACCATAAGTTATTCCTTTTCCTAACCAATTATTGGCATCCCTCATCCTTAAATGGCTCGCCATTGCTTCTCTCTTTATCCAGAGGGAAAGACTAGGCAAGCTCAGCAAGGCCTCTAATGCCGTCGTTGGAATAGTCCTCATTGCGCCTGTGATACCGAGACATGCCAGTCTTTGTATCTTGCTCAGTTTTTGAGCGATGGTGGTTTTACTGCGCCACCAGACCACTGATCCATAATGTATCCGCGGTCTGATGACAGCAGTATAAATCCAGTGAAGGACTTTGGGATTTACTCCCCAGCGTTTTCCCACCACCCGGCGCAGCTGCCAGAAAGTTGCAATCGATTTGTCAACAACTTTGTCGACGTGTGATTTCCAACTTAACTTCCTATCTAGGGTAACACCTAGGTACTTGACCTCTTCAGTAATCTCAAGAGGTTTTCCATACATAGCTGGTGCCCTGAAGTCCTGTATCTTCCTTCGTTTGGTAAAAAGAATCATGTCAGTTTTTGTTGGGTTAACCGACAGACCGTTTTCTTTGCACCAATTTTCTATTATTCTGCATGCTGTCTGCATTCTGTCGCAGACTACACCTAGAATGCCTCCTCTGATTAGGACTGTACCATCATCTGCATATGCTTGTGCATACAGCCCTTCAGCCGTCAGTCTCCCCAGAAGTCCATCCATTATTAAACACCATAGGTGGGGTGATAGGCAGCCGCCTTGTGGGCAGCCGCCCCTCACACCGATGTCCAAATGGCAGTCTCCCAGAGATGCACTGACCTGCCTCTCCTCCAGTGAGGATTTAACCCAACTAACCAGGACTGGGGGAGTGCCTCTGGCTTGTAGCGTTTCACAGATTGTAGATGTCCTCGCCTTATCAAAAGCCCCCTCTACATCAAAGAACACGGCTAGTGCCATTTCCTTGTAGTGCAGTGCCTTTTCGACTCTATGCACTATAGAATGAAGAGCCGTTTCGGTCGACCTTTCATTTCTATAGGCATGTTGATTCTTATGGAATGGGTACCTTTTCAGCACCCCTTCTTGCAGGTAGCGGTCCACAATCCTTTCTAATGTTTTAAAAAGAAAGGATGTTAGGCTTATTGGCCTGAAGGACTTTGCAGCCGAGTAGTCTTTTTTCCCTGCTTTGGGTATGAAGACCACTTTAGCTACCCTCCAGGCTCTTGGGACATATCCCAGTGCCAGACTGGCTCGGAATATTCGTTCTATTCTTGGGAGAAGAATCTCCAAGCCTCTCTGTAGCAATGCTGGGAATATTCCATCCGGTCCTGCTGCCTTGTATGGATCGAACGCATTTACTGCCCATTCCACCGATCCCTCCTTCACAACGTCTTTGGCAAGGCCTAAGTCCCAGGTAAGGATCTCTGGCCCCTCCGTTGTTGACGTGAGGGAAGGAGTTTCGCCGGGGAAGTGCGTTTCCAGGAGATGTCTTAGGGACTCTTCACTGGTGTTCGTCCACGATCCATCCAACCTTCTTAGGATTCCTACGTTCCTTTTTGAGTCACAGCTAAGGATCTTCATCAGCCTGGTTGACTCCTGAAGTGACTCTACAGTTCCACAGTATGTCTTCCAGCTAATATCCTTGCTGCGCCTTAACTCTTTTTTGTAAGACTTTCTAGCCTCCCTGTACGTATCCCACGTGGATTGCAGCCCATCCTTGATAGCCCGGTTGAATGCGCGCCTTGCCTTCTTTCGAAGGTCTTCAAGCACGTCACTCCACCACGGGACCTTTCGGCCCTTAGCCACCTTGGCCGGGCAAGCAATCTCGTAGGCTATGGCAATCGTACTATTTAGGTGGTTAACTTCCCTCTCTAACTGTTCTTTGGTGGTAATGTCCACAGGAGGTTCCCAAGTTTGACTTTTTAGATTGGTGAGATATTTCTCCCAATCTGTAGCCCTTGGATTCCTCCTTGGGTTAGGAGTGACCTTGTCGACATTTAACTCAAATCTGATCATCCTGTGATCAGACATCGTTATATCGTTGGTCACTCTCCAGTTAGAAACATCTTCATATACTGACCTTGATGCCAAAGTTATGTCTATTACTTCCTTCCGGTTGCAAATAACAAACGTTGGTTCTTTGCCTCTGTTTATTACCTCCAAGTCTGTTGATGCCAAATACCCTAGCAGAGATTCTCCCCTGCTATTGGTGTTGGTACTGCCCCACACGTAGTGGTGGGCGTTGGAATCACATCCTAGCAAGAGGGGTATGCACTTGTCACTCGCGAACTTGATTAAACGAGTTAGCTCCGGAGTAGGGCACGGTCCCTCGTACGGTAAATAGACGCTTCCTAATATAATCCTATTTCTAATGCCTCTTACCTTATATTCTAGCAGAATCGCCGTGACATCCCTGGCCCCCAATTTTGGAAGAGGTAGCACATTGAGTTCCTTGGACGTCAGTATGCATGTTCTGCTGCTCTCCTCCTCAGTGCCGACCATGATGTTTAGGCCAGTGGCACCCATTCCTCTAACCCCTTTCCTGTAAACATACGGTTCCTGTACCAGGACAATCTCGCCCTCCCTCCCTGCCAAGACGCTTGCCAGTTCCCCAGCAGCGTCCTTGCAGTGATGTAGGTTGATTTGGCTTACCCGTATGGTGTCCATGACGGAGTGTATCATGGTACGGCCTCAGCACCTAGTTTTCTTCAGTCTGCTTCGAGGTTCCAGCACCAGATGAGCCCTGGCGCACCACGCTACTCCAAGCCGAGACCTTTTTTACAGAAAGGGTCACCAACTCGAAGTAGAGGGCCCACCCAGACTCCTCCAGGCGCTTCACAACCTCTTGGCTAACCAAGAAGACTAGATGCCATGCTCCTGGTCCCCCTGTGGTCTCCAGATGTTTCCAATTCCCCACGTTAAGGAAGTGGTTCTGGAGATCAAGCATCCTTGTGACCTCTGCCAGGTCCACCTTTTCCTGCCTAAGCCAGAAACCAATCTTCACGGTTTATTTTATCGAAGTTTAAGAGGTATACCTTTTTAATAGTAGCGGAGTAATCGAAAAATTGTATCAAATGTTTTAAAAACCTAACCTCAAAGTTTGGATGGGACAATAAGCTTAGAGCAACCCCACTGTGTTCACTCAAAAAATTGTAATTATGTGTGAATATGTGGATTGGTAGTAAGTGACTATTCGCAAAATATCACCTTTCTAAGTTTACCATAGAAGAAGTTATATTAAAAAAACTCATATGATAAATAAAACTTTATCATCCTGTATCTTGGCAACTGAAGTAATTAGGAAATATAGTAGTAGAGTAGTAACGCCATCAACCTATCCAGCTTACAGGCAAAGCCTATAAGGTTCGGTTCTTCAGCGGGACCTACTGTTTAACGTGGAATCCGAACCACGGTCCTCGATGAGTTAGACTAGAAAATATATTTATTTAGGTTTTCGTCTTAATTTGACTTGCTTAATCTTTTCCTAAATTTATGCCACTATATATATATAATATATATACAAGGTGTCCCTAAACTTAGTGGCATAAATTTAGGAGCAGAATAAGCAAGTCAAAATAAGACGAAAATCTAAATAAATATTTTTCCTAATTACGTATGTTTAAAAGATACAGGGTGATAAAGTGTTACTTATCATATCAGTTTTTTGAATATAACTTCTACTATGGTAGACTTGGAAATATGATATTTTGCGAACACTCACTTACTACCCAAACACATATTCACACATAATTACAATTGTTCGAGTGAACACAGTGTCGTAGAAACAGGGGTTGCTTAAGCTTATTGTCCCATAGAAACTTTGAGGTTATGTTTTTATACCATTTGATGCAATTTTTCGATTACTCAGTTCGGCTACAATTAAAAAGGTGTACCTCTCAAACTTCGATAAAATAAACCGTTTCCGAGATATTCGAGATTACAATAATTCAGAGCAAGTTCATCATTCATTCATTATATTTTCCAGGAATTTTAATTTATGCAGAAATAACTTAGAAAAATATAATACGAACTTGCTTCGATGTCTTTGTGCATACAATAGTCAACATCTGTAGGCTTAGATTTATTTTGTTGTTTTTTACATTTTTGTTAAAGTTTATTAATTTTTACGTTTATAATTTTGAATAATGCATTCAGAATAATAAAGTTTGTGTTTCCTACTATCGTATGAGTCTTTCAAATTAAAAATATTCCATAAATATTAACTTTGAGACAGTTAAAATATTATCAATTTACGATACTACACATAAATTACGAAGAATTGATCGCTATTTCCCAAGATCTACATGGAAGATTTTCATTTTACTTTTTTTTGAATACTTAGTAAGTATTTAAAAAAACAATGTTTCAAAGTTGTTCTATTTTTTTCGGTAAAAACGGTGTTCGGTGACCGTGTTCGGTGACCGTGGGGTATTTATGCAGCAAATTTTGAACACAACAAATGCTTTCGACGTTTGACAATTTTTGCGATTTTTGGTTAGTTTTTGTTCTTTGTTTTTGGGATTATTGTTTGGTATACCAAGTTGACTTTATAGTGTAGTTTGCTTTTAAAAATGAAAAAGAAGCCCTTATGTACAAGCAAAGAAAGCGTTTGAGGCGTTGGGGTGGGCGGCCTATTCTCCTCCTGAGACAAAATCTTTGTAGAAAGTTCTGCCTTAAGTTCCCAAAAACGCTCTAAAGTTTTTTGTAAGTCTATATTTTGGGTCATGTTACAGGAAATATTATTCAAATTATTGGTTGGCATATTCATTGGGCCACTTACGACCCAACCAAAGCGGCTTTTTTGTAAAATTGGTAAATTTTTACCTAACTTTATTCTTCCTATGCAAATTAATTGCCAAAAGTGTTCGGCTCCAATTAAAATATCAATTGTACCAGGCGTATCATAACTGGGGTCAGCAAGATTAACATTTGAAATTATTAAATTATTTTTATTTATTTTAATATTTGGTAGACAGCCTGTTATATTATTTACAACTAAACAAGATATGTTGGTACTATACTCGGAATGAATTGATTTTATATTTATGTCGCATAAATGAGTTATAGAGGATGTTACCTGATTAACACCTTGTACTTGTATATTAAAATCTTTTATTTTTAAATTCAATTTTTTTAAAACATCCAACCTTTTAAACGAAGACTGGGAACCTACGTCTAACAGCGCTCTAATTGTATGCAATTTGTTATTATTATCAACAATTTTAACCAAGGCAGTAGGAAGAATTACTTGACTATTAACGAAATTAATCGTCGCAGATAAGGTAACAACCGGTACATCACCCGGCGTTTCAACGATAGAATTTTTATTCTTATATGAATTAAGGTGAATTAAAATATTATGTTTATTACCACACTTTCTACAAGGTTCGAAATTACAATATTTAGATGAATGATTGCTTTTCAAACAGTTATAACAAAGTTTTAAATTTTGTATTTTATTAATTCGATCTTGAATATTAAGTTTTAAAAACTCTTTACATTTATAAATTGGATGATTGTTTTTACAGTAAACTCATTGAGGAATTGAAGCAAAAAAACGCTTTAGTTTTCGAGCCGTGCGAGATCGTTTTTTTGTCCGCTTTAAAATTTAATGTTTCAAGTAAATCGGCTCTAGACTTTAAAAAATCCGTAAATTCTTTTAACGATGGATTATCATTTTTGCATTTAAATGCTTCCCACTCCCTTAAAGTCGTATTATCAATTTTTGTACACATTACATATATGATTAACAAATCCCAATGTTCAATTTTTTGTCCCAAAGTTTATAAAGCACGTAAATTTTTTAATACGGTATCTACCATTTTACGAATTTTATAAGCAGATTCATTAGCAATTTGTTCCAAATTAAATAGTTATTTTAAGTGGTTTTAAATGAGTAAACGATTGTTCTGGAAACGATTGCATAAAATGTCCCATGCTACATTATAGTTATCAAGTGAAAATTCAATAGATTTAATTATGTTTAATGCACTTCCCAACATAGATGCCTTTAAATAATGAAACTTTTGTATATCGTTTATACTTTTGTTTTCGTGAATAAGAGATTTAAACAGGTCATATAATTCTAACCAATTTTCCCACGTTCCATCAATTATTGGTAATTTAATATTTAAATTAGTATTATTGGTTGCCAAGACCGAATTTTCTTTTAATTCGAGCTTTTCAACCTTTAAAAGTTTTTTATTGTCTCTAATTAATTTTTCTGCAGTTGCCAACGCACTAAAATATAAATTTTCAAATTCACCCGGGTCTATATTTTGTTCCGAAATCGCTTCAATTTCATTTTGTACCGTTTCGTATTCACTTTGTAATGATTCTGCCCTATGTAACCTTGTTTCTAATTCTAAAACTAACAATTCATCCAACTCTGATTCTTGTAACTCGTTCAAATAGTTGGTAAATCTAGTTAACCGACTTTTAATATGAGCTCTTTGCCTAACTAGCGATTTTAATTCCGCATCATCATCGCCTGAATGTGTGGCCATTTTTTAACTTATCAGTGCAAAAAATCAATACAAAAATCAAAGAGGATGGAAAAAAAGGAAGGCTCACCAAATATGCTCGTTTTTTACGTGGTTGCGGACTTCAGCTCCAGATATTTCGATGACGGAGAGGTTCCACGTAGCTATTTCATGTTTCTTTGTTTTCTAGAGTTCTTCTTTTTTTACTTTCCAAATTCGGGATCGAAGGACCATGTATATCCGGTTCGAAGGACCATGTATATTTTTTGATGTTCCAATTTTTTGGTTTGGAATCAGGGACCATGGATGGGTTCACAATTAGAAGTTTGTCACATATATTTTATTGGTCTACTCAATTTAACCGTTCACACCAGAATGAATTAACAAAATAAATTGATATATAAAAAACTACACCAAATCATTCACATACAGTGCGTCTCTATTAGGGGTGTCAATCCCGGGATCCCGAAATCCCGTGGTCCCGGGATCCCGTAAAAAATCCGATCCCAAAAATCCCGGGATTAAAAGTCCCAATCCCGGGATCTTAGTAATAAGTTAAAAAGAATAAAATAGACTTTTTTAAGCGTATGACATATTTCATATTATAATACTCATAAGAATATATATAAACACTTCATTTTTTTACTCAGTTCAAGTCAAATTATTATACACCGCCGTACAATAATGAAAATACATTGAAATTACATAGCAAGAGTGGTTCCATCTATAGCATAAAATCAGCAAAGAAAATGTAAAATTACAGGTCACTGTAGAATAAATTTATGTACATAACCTATAATATAACATATTTCAAACGTCAAACCTGAAAAAATGTCACAAAATTGATAATTTCAATGTAAGTTACAGCCCCAATTGGAACTCACCAAGGCCCGATTGATAAAAGAAATGGAATTATTTGTTAATGGGGGTAAACGTGGGTACAATGCACCTACGAATTCTTGAAAACCATTCTTCCGACTAGTGTGAAGTCCGAAAAATATCGTTCGTTAGTTTGTTGTTGTTTTATTTTAAATTGGTTTTAAAATTAATGATATATATTTTTTCGGGACTGATCCCGGGATCCCGGGATTGGAAAATGGGCTCGGGATTGACACCCCTAGTCTCTATAGACCATATATACGACACATATTACAGTGCGTCTCTATACGACACAATACCTTTTAATGAAGGTACCGGGCGTTCAATCAAACCGTTTATACACATATGTACATAGCGGCATATTTACTTTTTGTGGGTGTTTTTATATACAAATACCGGAAAAAAATATATTGTTCCTATTAATTTATTAATTTCTTGTCATATGAATACAACTCATTCGTAGATTACACTTAATTTAAAATTAATATTTAAAAATTTGAAATATTAAATAATAGGATTTGTAAAATATCTTTTTTATTATTAACTTTAGGTATAAAGAATAGTTATATATCAATAAAAAATGATTATAATTTTATATGTAATTATGTAAAAATATACAGGACGTTCCAATGAAAAAAAAAGTTATTGCTGTTTTAAGTAAGCTACATTCACATTGTTTTTTATCAAGTATCTTTTTAGAAATATTACAATAAATTACATGGAATCTTTAAAACAATGCTTCAGGATTGCAATAAATCCAACCGAATAACAGCAAACCTGATATTAAAAAAGTTATAAGCTTTTTTGTTGAGGGTGAAAATTACCGAATTAAAAAAAAAATTAATTACTCAAAAACTATTAAGTTTAGATATAGGACATGGTATAGCCATTTTATAAGGAATATAAATTTATAAGAATTTAAAAATGTAAAAAAAATTGTGATGATCCATTTAAAATAACAATATCCCTTGCGTTAAAACCGGAAGAGGAATTTTGTTCAAAATAATTTAGAAAAATAGTTTAAATAATATTTTATTGCTATAATTTCAATTTGATATCTTTTGCCGTTCTCCATAAACGTCTAACCTACCATCGACCGTGATATACCCTGTATAATATAGGTAAAGTGTATACAACAAAAACAGAGGCCCCCTCTGTTTTTGTTGTTGAAAGAGGACTAAGAAGCATACAAAACTGCGTATAATAACAATAAATAACTTTTCAATACAAAAAATATAAATTAATGAGTTATAACTTAGCCAAAATATAAATAATTAAAAATTACACTGTAGGTATACAACAGAAAATTTTGTTGTTGTATAGTGTAATTTTGAATTCATATTTTGCCCAAGTTATAACCTATTAAATTCAATTTTTTGTATTTAAAAGTTATTTTATTTTATTTAATTGCCTCACACACAAACCTAAAAATAACTTAATTTTAAATGTCACCATACTAATTATATGCTTCTTTTTATAATACACTATTAGGTTATTATAGTAAAAAGAAGCTAGTGTACATTAGAGTGGCCCTTAGCTACTAGGTAACTTTTCGAAATTTTAATTTTGCCGCTCCCACCCACTAATCTTGTTCGAATAACTAAAAAGACGATCTGTGCAAAATTTTAGCTCAATCGGACTGCTGCAAAGCGACCCTCAAACGCCCTGAAGTAAGAACATATTATACGCAACGACTAATTATGCTGAAAAGCGGTACACTTTTTCCTATTTCGATAATTTTTTTTTCTTTATAGATAAACTTACTTATATTTAATATCGGCAGCAGAGTTTAGTTTTTTGATTATACTCGCAAAACTATCTTTAGAAACAACTACCTTCAGCAATTAATATTATCAGTATATATAAGATTAATACGAGAGACAATAGTAAACATATATTTGTGCTGCCAGTTCGTCAAAAAAGTTAAGAAAATATTTTTTTTCTCCCTTGTTGGCAATATTTCCAAATTGTTTTCAAATCGTCGGAGTAAAACTACCTTCTATCCGGCAAGTTTTAAGCGTTTTTTTCTACAATAGTTCATCTGACGTCAAAAAAACAGTGCAGTACTGGTGATTTAAGAAGTTTCCATTTTTTGGCAAAATTACGAATTCCTACTAGAAGAACTAACCACTGCGTTGATAGATTACTCAAACTGTATGAGAAATGGAAAGGTTTTCAGAAAAACTTGACTAGAACTACAGGCAAGGAAAAACAAAAAAAAAGATCTTTTTGTAGAAATTATGGATGATCTGTTTGACATAGCTCATTCAGATGCTCTGGCATTAATGAAAAATGAAGAATTTTTTAATGCTTCAGCGCCAAAAAGGACAACCGGGCTCCATGGTTGGCGTAGATCAAAAAACAGAAGATACTTGTTGTGAATGACGTGGCCGAACGAAGTGTCAAACCACGGAGTTCTCTATACCAGGCGTGACGTCAGGAGGCCGACTGCAATGGCAAATTAATGTGATAATTTTATAATCGCGGTAATACAAGACAGTTTTATATAAATTATCTATTGATTTACTATTGATATCGCTCGATTTAACGTTGATTTAAATATTGCATTAGTTTTCTGCTATTATAACATTATAAATAAATAAAAAATACCAAGAAAATGTTGCGTTCCTAAGAGGCAACAGGAAAATAAATATATTATCGCGGTAATGCAAGAGAGTTTCATATGAATTATCGATTGTCAGAGCCGGCCCGAAGTTTTTTGCCTCTCTGGGCAAAAAACACTTGCTGCCCCTTTTTTATTTAGCAGCCAATTATTAAAATTATGTCTACTTATTGCTATACTGCTTATGTTTCTTTTATTTAATGTATATCCTAATAAAAGAAGAATATATTAAACAATTTTGATGCCAAAATACTATACTATACTAATACTATACTAATAAATTACCTACAGTATTTTTTATAAAAACAGTTTTAAGATACTTGCATATGTAATAAGCTGTTATCCGACACACTTGCAAAAATAACTAGCGTCATGTGTAACGTATTGTTATCTAATTACAAGAAACTGTGAAATAATAGCTGCAAGAAAACAAGATCTTAATGCGCCCCGAAAACTAAAAACTTTGATGTAGCTTACCGTTGTTTTTTTTATTTTAATAACAGTTCTATGTTTGTTTTAAATAAATTACTATTTTAATAGCAGTTCTATGTTTGTTATAAATAAATAACTATTTTAAGAGCATACACAAAAAAATATTTATTTCCATAAAATAACATATTTATGGTTATATACTTATACGCAAAAATATTATACTCTTAATTCAAATTAAATATAAGTTTACTATTTTTAAATAAAATCTATGTTTTGTTGAATTTTTTTTAAATGAATATATTATACAGCAGGGAAACGTTTTTGGCGTGGCCTCGCCTCCCACCAACGCGCGTCGCAGTAGCTTGTGTGATGAACGACATGACGAAAGGTCGAGCAGGTAAGACGACCTTAAAAATTAAATGATAATAATGCAAAAAATCTCATTAGCGATGCAGGCTATTTGCTTAGCTACTGTGTCGCGCGTTGGAGGGAAGCGAGGCCACGCTCTATACGTTTTAATTTATTTTAAGTAAACTTTAATATTTAAAAGAGTACAATTTCTAAATTTAAATAGAAGAAAATTTAATTTAATATTGATTATTCTTTATAGTAATAGATAAATTAAATGAATTTTTTGTATAAAATTAAACTTAACAAAATTATTATTTAATATTCCATATTATAAAAATTAGACTAAACTTATTTCAAATATACAGAATTATTTTTTGTGTGCAGTTCTCTTTGTTTTAAATAAATTACTATTTTAATAGCAGTTCTCTGTTTGTTTTCAATAAATTACTTAGTACATATTGTTCTGTTGATTTTGATAGAATAAGTACTCATGCATTATTCACTGCTTTAGTAAAAAATACTCCTTAAAAGCAATAATAATCAATAACTTTGGTTGCAAAGCAATGTAATACAATAGGCGTACGTTGATCCGATCGGCCTTCTGACGTTTTGAAGCAGGAGTGGGGGCTACACAGTGTAGTGATGTGCCGTAAAGTTTACGTCAATTCTTTACGTCAATTCTTTACGTCATTCTTTACGCGTAATAAATCAATTCTTTACATGACGTAAAAAATGTAAA